ATGTCAAGATGTATTGAAAGAAATGCATAAACATTCAATAAAAATATATATTAAAAAGAAATACACAATGAATGATAAGATTTCATTTCATATTTATTGTAAATATATGCAAAATTTATTTTTGCCATTTTTGGTTTTACTAGTATTTCTGGATTTTATTTTTATATAAACTGCATTATTTCATAATATATTACTGAATATTTTGAGGTCTGTTAAAAATAAATTAATTCTATAGGGGACAGGGAGAATATTAATGTATCTCTCAACTCATACCAGTGATGACTCCTCAGCCAACAGAGGGTTATGCACACAGAAGGCCATAACTGGCCAAGGTGTAGAGAATAAGAGAGTACAGAGCACATGACTCTGGATAGGACTCTTATATTAAAGCTCAGTCCACATTGGGTCAGGGACCATTGCAGAAAAGGGAGCAGAAAGACTGTATGAGCCAGAGGTGGTGCAGGATCATAATGAAACAGAGTCTTCCAGGCTTCTGGGAACTCATGCACACAGAAGGCCATAACTGGCCAAGGTGTAGAGAATAAGAGAGTACAGAGCACATGACTCTGGATAGGACTCTTATATTAAAGCTCAGTCCACATTGGGTCAGGGACCATTGCAGAAAAGGGAGCAGAAAGACTGTATGAGCCAGAGGTGGTACAGGATCATAATGAAACAGAGTCTTCCAGGCTTCTGGGAACTCGTTCATATGAACTTACAGCAATTGTGTCAGCACGCACAAGACCCATGCAAACTCAATCAGACAAAAACCCCACTATCGAAATGTAGAAATTGGTAGCAACCCCAACATTAGCCAAGGAACTACTGGCAGGTGATCACTGCTGGGTGAGAGAGTTAATCTTCTATAGAGAATGACTGTAAAGAAGCTGACTAGATTCCAGTGAAGGAACATGCACTGAGGAACATTTGGGTACAGAAACTTGACTCAGTAGGCCTTACTGTTTTATGAGAAAATGCATGAAATCAGGTGGAGGGAAATGGAGGGTGCAGATGGGAGAAGGGGTATAAAAATGATTAAGATCTTTTGTATGAAATGCACAAAGAATCGATAAAAATATACATTGAAAAAATAAGTTTATGCTAAAAATTTAAAACTACAAAATTACGGAGACTGTTTGAACTTAAGCCATCAAAAGAAATAAGAGTGTGGGGCAAGCAAAACACAGATGAGTGTAGAATCCTGGGAATGGACCAAAGATAGTTTGGGTTTGAATTCAGCAAGTGTAGTATTTCAGCATTAGTGTTCTTTGATGGCATTAGTGAGTTTTCTCATTCTCACTTCTCTCTCCTTTCTAAATTACTTGTCCAAACTAAGGGTATATTTGCATTATTACTGGTGTAAGGTAACTCAGCCATAGCCCTCTGGGAAATAATGCAAAGATCAGAAGAAAGCTCATCAATTTGGGTCAGGGTGGGAGCCAGTACATTGTTTATAATGTATGTAATGGCAACTACTGAGATCCTAACTTGAAGCAATTTATAGATAGTTTTATGTGCAACTTGACACTGCTCTTGTGAGTGCCCAGGGTTACCGAATCATCTGTGCTCTCACTGTGTAATCCCAGTCTTCAGTGTGGCACCCTGTACTTTTCTACTTTGAATGTTCTAAAATACTAAGGGGGTCACAGAAAAGAGCAAAACCACATCCCCAGAAATCTAGATAATATGGAACATGAAGTTTCCTGTTTTATTATATGCTACTACAAATCAATAAAGTGAAAACAGATATCACAAAAGGAAAACATACATACTGTGAACCCTAATTAAACCAGTTCTCTTTGTCATGACAGAGATAAACAGGAACTACAGAATGCTGGCTCTTATGGTAAGTCCCAGAACATAACTACTAATATGCTCATGCTGAAAGAGAAGTCTGAGGTTAAGTATAACACTATTAATAAACAGTATTAAGAAGAAAGTCAAAGAAAAGGGTTTTTATTAAACACAATATTAACTGATGGCAATTAAGTTGGCAGCTTATTAAAATAAGGTCTCTCATAAACAGTCATGCTACTTTCTTCTCAAGAGCATTTTGAAACACGAGGACCTCAACAAGCATCTCTGGTTAGAATCACTACATTTCAGCCCCTGGTAAAATTGGCTCACAAACCATTTTACATCATTTTCAAAATATTGGCAACCACGTTACTCAGTTGCTACTTGGACAGTACAGAGGGGCCCAGATAGTTCTCTTCTAGGGCTTTAGTGTTGATCTTACAAGACCACATTCACAAGCTTTCACTTGTGATCTCTACCCTATTTTTTCAAATGTTTTCTTCTAGCATGTTCAAATCCTCAGATACCAACTTGAAAACTCATTTAGAGAGTGAGGGAAAGATTAACACAGAGTGACACTTCCCCTGGTTAGGATTCTCATGACAGGTCCCTCTCTCACAGAACAGTTCTCATTTGAGAGAAATAGGAAGTTCCCACTCTTCTGTTTCTCCCCTGGCCAGACCTCCCCTTGGTCAGAGGTGGCTTTACCAAGCATGCTGTGTGATCATGCAGGCAAGATTTCAAGCGTTGACAGAGTTCTAGCACTTTTTGGAAGGTTTTCTATTATTGTCCTGGAACTATTTGCTGCATGAAAGCAAAAATAGTGAAGGACATCTGTTGTATTGTCTTCATCCTCTTAACAATTGTCAAGTTTACAGACATTTGTAGGTGTTTTTGAGCACAATGCCATGGGGAGGCTATGAAGCTGTCTTCGCAATTGCATGGAATTGAGAAGTGAAGAATTCAAGTGCTATGCCCAGGAATATCAATAGCCAGCTGAGCCTGAGTTTGAAACAATTTAGTTAGTAAACCATTAAGTGCTTTATTGCAACTTTGATTTCTTCTTTGGCTGTGATCTATTGACTTTTGGTTGTACAGGCTATCTGCTTCCTCAAAATGCCCTTTTGTCAGACTGTGATCCTTGCACTATGCTTCATCAATTCATACCCTATATCCATCTTCAATTATTTTAAGCTTAAGAAAGTTTTTGCCCCAGTCAAAGGCTTTTCTTTAATATTCAGAATGTAATTATTTCAGTGTGATTTTTCAAGATTAGGGTGATTATGTGCTTTATAGATGATCATTTTGTTTATATACATAACTAAAATAAATTATTCAATAACGTTCCTTACTTTATTTTAAAGGGTATAAGGGAAGAAGGTAAATGAAAGTGAAAAATACATTCTGTCTATAGAGGAAGGACTCTGTGTGCATGAGAGACAGAAGAATAGACAGGCAAAGAGACAGAGCTAATGAAGGAACAGGGAGAACACACTGAGTGCGTGTGTGTGTGTGTGTGAGAGAGAGAGAGAGAGAGAGAGAGAGATACAGAGAGAGAGAGAGTGAGAGAGAGAGAGAGAACACTTGCACTCTATATCCATTCATGTTTGTCTTACCTGTATACAAAGAGATTTCTTACTTTAAAGGAAACTACATGACCTGGTGGCCAAGAGACTTGCATTATTTTTTTCTATTTTTTAAAAATTTATTATTTTTATTTTATGTATATGAGTACATTGCCTGTCTAGATGTAAGTGTACCCGTGTCATGCAATGCCTAACAGACCAGAAGAGGGTGTCGGATCCCCGGAACTGGAATTTTTAGCTGTCGTGTGGGACACATAATTGAACCCGAGTTCTCTGTAAGATCAGTCAATGCCCTTTTCCCAGCAACCAGAAAACTGTATTCTTACTAATTTTGCTCTGTCACTTTCTAGTTGTAAAAGCTGTGGAAAACTGCATCATGCCATTAGCCTCAGTTTCTACATCTGAATATTTATCTGCATCTTTATTCTGAATTTCCATAATACCATTGTGGTACTCAAATGGCATAATATACATAAAATCAGTAGCCTATAAAGTTTCTATATGCTCAACAATAAAAGAATGTTTTTTGTTAATGTTCCCATTGATATGTGCTTTGACTCAATTTAGGGCTTGTTCCATTGATCCCTTTAACCAGCTGTTTGTTCTTAAATTTTTTGAGGAGGTATAATTTCATCCTTCTTAATAACACTTCAAATAGTTATCTTACCATCTGAACCATCATCTCAGAACTCTATTGTGTTAATCTCATAGGAAGGCAATTAATCTGCATGAAAAATCCATGCTAATATTGATATGAGCTTAGCTGGATTCTGTTTTATATTTACTTTTTACTTGTGGTAGGGTTCATTTGATCCCCATTTCTGTCCAATTCAAATTAACCTCTATTGGTGGTATATATCTAGGTGATACACACTGTCTTAGGTAAGCTTCAGTTGTCAATTTGATACACCTTGAGGAGGGAACTTCAACTGAGGAGCTGCTTCCATCAGATTGGTCTGTGGCTACTACTGTAAGGAATTTTCTCATTTGCTAAAGGATGTTGGAGTGCCCAATCCACTGTGGCTGGTGCTGTTCACAGGCAGGTGGGCCTGGGCTGTATAAGAGAAGTAGCTGAACAAGCCATATGGAGCAAATCTGTAAGCAACGTTCCTCTGTGGTCTCTGCTTCAGTTCCTGACTCCAAGTTCTTGACCTGGGTTCCTGCCTCATCTTCTCTTGAAAACGGACTTTAAGATTTTAGTCAGATAAACCTTTTACTCCCCAAATTGTTTTGCTCAGCATGTACCATCGCAATAGAAAACTAACTAGGATACAGGTACTGATGTGCCAAAATAGGATTTGTGCAGAGATAAGTCTTGATATCTAAGGAACTATGCTGTTCTTTTCAGATCACAGAAACTACATCTGTACCACATCTGTATATTTGTATGTTGAACTATACCCCAGAGAATATGTGAATATTAACAACATATATGCAATGAACCCTTTTAAACAATCATGCATTGTAAAAGCAGATGATATGATTTTGGTCAAGATTCCATTATAAATCAAAATTCTACATATGAATATATAATATATATACATATATACATATATATAGTGTGTGTATACCTATATGCATACACACATGTATATATATGAATATGTGAATACTTACTATATTGACAATTTCTTCCCATAAATTCTCCTGGGCACTCGCAGGAATAGTTAGCAACAAGGTCTGTGCATATTCCACCATTTTTGCAAGGCTCTGCTTCACATTCATTTATATCTGAGGAAAACAGAATGAAGAAAGAGAAGTATTGGTACAAATATTTGAATATTAGAAATTTTTAATATCTTTTAAATAAAAACTCTGAGTAAATGTCATTCCTTTGCGTGTATGTGCACACATTTCAATAATACAAATGCAGTCTAAGTCCACAGTTTACTAAAAAGCAAAAGAGATTTCAAATAGAATTTTGATGTGGAAGATTTTGAAACAGAATCTTTATAGAAGATTCATATAAAGACTAATAGAATTAAATAGTTTCCCAATTAGAAAATAAATATGAATAGTTTGAGAAATAGTCAGTTTATCCTTATAATCAAATCAAACAAATTAACCCTGATAGAGAGATGGATTACTTTCACTTACAAGACCTAGAATCCACCATGCAGCAAAAACTGCCAATTAGCATGGTCCCATTTCATCTTAATTCATTAAAATTCCAACTGACAGAGATGTTTTAGTTTCTAAATAGTTTGCCTTTGATGAAGAGGATGAGAAGCAAATTAGAGTTAATAGCTAAAGCTGTTGCATGCAAAGTGTAATAAATGTAAATGATGATCACTTCCTAATCTCATTCATGAGTTTCTAAAGTTAGGAAGACTAATGGAAATTAGCTTTGCTATGCCATTACTGCATTTGATGTATAACCATGCAAAACAGAAAACATTCAGCTACTGTTTTAATTTTTGTGCTAAGTTTGGACAACAATGAAATGAATATGATTTTTGAAGATTTATTTCACTTTCTTAAGTGCACATGTGTGTCTCTGTGTGCCTGTTTAGATGTTTGTATTACATCTGTGAAGTCCAGAAGAGGACATTGCATCCTCTGGAGCTGGAGATACAGGTGGTTGTGAGCCACCTGATGTGGGTGCCAATAATTAAACTTAGGTCCCTTTAGAAAAGCAGTAAGCACTTTTAATTACTGAGCCCTCTCTCCAGCACAAATATGTTTTTAATGCAAATGGAAATATTGATTATCTCAGCCACATGTTAGTCACTGATAGTTACAATCAAATTTGGTAGAGCTAACAAAGTAGAGCTGAACAAATTTGGGAGAGCTAACAAAGTAGAGCACATTGTTATTCATCTATTTTTCACCTTCTGCTTGAATCAGTGTCCCTGAGTCACAGAATTCCACAACTCTGCTGCTGCTCTGTCTTTAACCCTCTTTCAGACATAAGTGACATTACATGGAAGTTATTAATGCTGTGCCTTTCGACTCTTCACCTCATCAGATAGCAAGTGTCCAACAGGCAATTCCTATCCTGGCCTATTCTTTGTATTCCTAAAGTGCCACATTCTACCTGGAAGACTACTGCCCAAGAAACATTTCTGATACACTTAAAATATAATAGAAATACTGATGTGAGCAACCTGTAAATTTTAACATTTAATGGATTTTCTGATACATTAAATCAAAGGGGCTTCTGAAGACCTGGGTTATACCATTTCTTAAAGCAAGATCACTAAATTATCTGATTGTGATTATCTGATGAGCATGTCCCCTATAGGCTCCACGTATTTGGACATTTTTGTCCCCAGTTGGTGGCACTGTTTCGGGAGGTCTTACAAGGTGTGGTTATGCTAGAGGAAGCAGTTCACTAGGGGTGGGTTTAGAGAGTTCATAAGCCATGGCAGATCTCAGGTTGCCCTCTTGCTTCCTGTGCCTGCTTGAAGATGTGAGAACTTAGCTTCTGCTCCTCCTCCAGCCACCTCTACTACTAACTTGCCTCTCCAACATGATGAACTCTTGTCCCTTGGAATCATAAGCTAAATAAACGCTTCCTTTAAGTTGCTTTGGTCAGTGTATCTATCACAACAACAGAAAAGTAATTAACACACTTGTTAAAACCAAACAAGGGCAAAAAGCTCTATTTATCCTCTAACCGTTTTCCTTCTTTTCTGCTCTTCCTCCTTGAAGCATAATTATTTGATATCCCTACAGAAAATCTGGCCTAAATTTCTTGAGGCGGGTGAGAACTTTCCCTGAAGGCAGGAAATTTTTGTTTCTATTGACTGCTCTATCTTGAAAGGAAGAAAAATTTACCTTCATAAATAATCTATACCATGTGAGTATTTTATGCCAAATAATTGAAAAAATTCAGTATCTGATAATCTATGAAAATAACTGAGTGCTGTAACAAAATTGTGATAAACTCCTTAGACATTGATACAAAAACATGGAGAAAGAAAACGGAAATGGACAATAACCAGGATAAATAATGTCTTCACTATTTTAATATTATTTTTATTTTTAATTATGTGAGTATGTCTGTGTGCGGGTGTATGTGAGTGCAGGTGCCTGAAGAAGCTAGAGAAGATATCAGAGCTGCTGGAGCTGGAGTGCTGTCAGTTGCAAGCTGACTGATGTGGGTGCTAGGAATTGAACTAAGGTCCTCTGGAAGAGCAGCAAGTGCTATTGCCTACTGAGCCATATATTTAGCCTAATTTCTTCATTTTTAAAATCTGATGAAATATTCATTTCTTTTGGCTTTTATAATTTCACTTAGTTTTAGTGATATGGAAATCATTTTGTCATTAATTTTGTTGCAAATGTAGTTTGAAACAATGACATGGTTTTCTACTTTGGAAACTGGACAATATTTGTGTCTTTATATTGTCTTCTTTAGTTTGTTCTGGATAAGCACATGCCACTGGCTGATAAACTAAAGTTGTGATATTAAACAACAACAACAACATGTGTTTTATGAAGTTAGGCACAAAAAAAATGTATTTCCTTATATATGTATGTAGGAGAAACTGAGTACCAACATCTGAAGAAGAAGACCACATAAGGCAAGTATAATTTTAGACTTGAAGGGACAGTTTAATCAGGATTAACGAGGACAGGATAGGAATGGCAAGGCGTTTACAAGGAGGCCGGAATCAAGCACTACTTTGAAGATATGATGCCATATTCGCGTATGCAAGCCTTCCACCCTGGAGCAGATAAAGGGGAGTGTGAGCACTCCAACTCTAAAGAGGCAAGTAAAGAAGCACAGATACCAACGAACTCTTCCTGCCTCCTTAATGAACTCCATCTCCTATTTTGCAAGGCAGACTTGGAACAGGATGGGTAGATATCTTTTTACCCTTCCAAATTACGTGGCACTAAAGAATCCACACTGTGATTTTAAGGACAGTGCAGTGGAACAGTGACCTACCTAATGTTTGATATTCATAGCTAAAATGTATAATTTAAAGTTCAAGTAGAAGACACTCTAGTTTCCTTTTATTTAAATTTTTTATTAATGAATTTTTGTGTATTTCATACAGAACATTTCAATCAATCTTTTAAAAAATATTTATTATTTTTATTTTATGTGTATGCATGTGTTGCCTGCATGTAGGTAAGTGCACCCTTGTTGTGCAATGCCTGCAGAGGACCGAAGAGGCTGTTGGATCCCCTGGAACCAGAGCTATGGAGAGCTGTTATCTGCTATGAGGGTGGTTAGATTCTAATTCAGGTCTTCTGCAGGAACAGCCAGTGTTCTTAACTACTGAGCCATCTTTCCAGCCCCCCAATCTTAATCATATACACTCTTCCCCACTGGCACCATCCCAAAGCCTACCTACTGGAATTTATAGATTCTGTCATTTGTGTCAAGGCCTATTGTGTCAAGTTCGTGTCCCCAGACATTCCTAGTGCCTACTGAGGTCTAGTCAGTGTGTTTAGAATTACTCTCTTTATGAAGATCAGTTCTTCCTTACCCAGCAGTAATGAGTTGCCAATATTTCTTCAGCTCAGATTGGGGTCTACTGTACATTCCCTCAGTTCTATGCTAGAGTTTTGTCTGCTCATGTTTGCATGGTTCTTGTGCATGCTGACACCATTGCTGTAGGTTCAAATGAGCAGGAGCTTGTAGTAGCTTGTAGGACTCTATTTCCATATGGTCATGTACCTCCTCCCTTGCTCTTATAATCTTTCCAACCCCTGTTCCCCAATGGTCCCTGAGCCTTGGGTGAGTGAAATTTAATATGGCAGTCCTGCTCAAGGTCCAGCATTCTGCAGACTTTTAATCTCTACACTTTGGCCATTTGTGACCTTTTGTGTTCCTGGCCCTCTTTTGCATGAGAGGGCTTCATTAATGAGAATGGAGATATTCATTAGTGTCCTCTTTAACAATTTTTCTATGTTCTGTGAACTTTAGGTGCAGAAGTTGCATTGCAGATGTGGCATTTAGGCTTGGGCAATTCACAGACAATGTCTGTGTGTGATCAGTTGTCATACTCTGTAATAGTCTCTGGTGCAAAAAAATTTTCTTTGATGAGAGGTGACTTGAATATTTGTCTGTAAATATAAAGATACATATTTTGCACATAGGAAGAAATTACATTAGTCTCGTGACATAATGGTCTTGGGGTTTTCTCTATGACCTCTCCAGTCATGTGTCTTGGCTGTGTTTATAGTATCACACATTAGCTTCCTTCTATTGTGTGGACTTTTAGTCCAATTTGGTAGCTGTTGATTACCCCCAAAGATAATAGTACTACTGTTCCACCAATGCTGAATGCTGTGCTAGTTATTGATGTGGTTATTTGATCTTGAAGCTGGTGTTGGACCATAGATTGATATCCTCCCTTAGAACCTTGCATAGTGCCCTATAAAGCTATGAGAGCAAGCTTTCAGGGGAAGTGACTTCCTTAAGTCCTCCAGACAATAATTTATATTATAAATATGTGAATATATATCTAAAAGACAAATAATCCTTTAAACCTTTCAGCTATTAAGTTCCTTGGGTCACACTTACAACCATTAACAAAGCTAGTTATACTTAAGGAAATCTGATCCTGAAAAAACAACATTTAAACCTTTACCCAGAGTTTGATATGAGATGGAATGAACTGGAATTGCACCTGCTGAAGTTGAAATATTTCATAGACATATTCCTCCTGTCCTGATGGAGGGACTTTTCATTGTTTAAATGTCTATCTTTCAGACTTTATGAAAATACAAAATAATGGTTAAATCTCAATTCACAAAATTATGAATATTAC